AGGTGCCGTATTATAATAAAGACTCAAAAAGGGACCATAATTTTGACAACTACCCATTTATGGGGTTTAGGGGCTTAGGGTTTAGGACCCTCAAACTCCAAAATCCCCAAACCTCAAACCCTGAATGCCTCCCCCCCTCCCGACTCTTCCATCCACTTGAAAAAAACTTGGCTGACTTCTGAACCCCTCCAAAAAGTTAAACTTTTACTCTCCTTAGTATGATTCATATAGAAACCCAAAAAATTAAAGTCCTAAGAGCCAATCAGAACCCTAAACCCTAAACCCTAAGAGCTAACCGGAAGAACCACCAAGAAAAGGCAGCCCTTTCGGGGCAAGGTGCCCTCTTCATCCAGCTTGGCGGTATCCGGATCTGAGTCCACCAGCAAAAACAACGTATCAACCGTCTCCTTGCAAGGTCTCGGGCTTAGGGTGTAGGGGTAGGGCTCAGGAGGGGCTGAAGGGATAGGTATTTTCTTATGTGCAGTGGCCTGATTCGGGTTTAAAGTGTAAGGTTTATGACGCAACCGTATCCCAAAGTTTGCAGGGCAGGGTGGTGCATCTGCAGTACCTCCAACACGATGTTGAAGATAGCCTGTATGTGCAGCTAGACCTACTGCTTTCTGAAGGGGTGTCAGGCGCAGGGTTTATTAACTAAGAGTGTCCTTCCGTTTGTTATTGGAAGCCATGGCTGATTTTCGCAATGATCCCTAGTTAAGCCCTACACCCTAAACTCTGAGCCCCTACTTGACGACCCCGAGTACATGTCTCTTTGCCGAAAAAGTCGGGACATTGTAAATATAGGGGCCTTAATAATCAGAAGAAGTTTTGGGGTAAATTCTTTGTACTACATCTAAACCAGGGGGCCAAAGGGGGATACCAGTACAAAGTATTCGGACCCTTGTAACTTGTAAGTTTCGAAGTGAGTTGGGGTTTGGGGCTTTCGGGTTTAGGGCTTTGGCTGAGAGGTTTTGGATTAGATCGCGTACCCAAAAATCGCATGCTGCCGCCTGCCCCGTAAGATTCACTCGAACCACCCAGGCCCACATCCAAAAAGAGCGAGGTCCCGAGCCCCGCAACCTCAAACAAAACCGTTCGCTGAAGAACCGAACGTCGTTGCACGCCTAATATAGGGCACTTCACAATTAGAATAGGGTTTTGGGCCCAGTATACTATAATTATTATAAGGATCCCCCCAAATAGTATAGGTAATTATTTCGGCCCCTACATTATGTGGGAACCTCTAAACCGCAAGACTTGACGATGGATCGTAAGGCTGCACCTAGCAGCTGAAGCAAATATCGCCCACCTAATCTCTAAAACTCCCTAAGCCCTAACCCTAAACCTAAACGCGAAATCCTAACCCTAAACCCTAACCCCCGATCCTAAACCCGAAACATCCCCGGACCCTAAACCCAAACCCCTTATCACAAACTCCTAAAGCCGCCCTCTGTCCTTCGAGACGCTGTAGCCCCATTCGGCAAGGGCCCCGAGCACCTCCTGTCCAAGCTGTGCCAAGGAGCTTCTGTTCAGTTTAGGGCTTAGGGTTTAGGGCAGATTCAGAAGGCTTTTGCAAGGAGGGGTACCTTGCTTGAAGTGAGGGTTTAGGGTTTAGGGCTTATATAAGGCTTAGGGCTTTAGGGTTAAGGGCAGCATGAATTTGCTGCTGCTTTATGTACGGTCGATCTTACGGTTCAGGCCATTCGAGCCGATAAATCCTTCTCAATCCCTACAGACCCCCATTCTAAGGTTGAACCCATGGGCCCCTAACATGGGCCCTTTGGGGATTCTAGGGTCCCTTAAGCGTATATATAGGGTCATAGGGTATATAGTAGGTATATTAGGGTCCCAGGGTTAAGGGCCCATACTAGGGGCCCATGGGTTCTACCCTAGACCCATACTAAAACCAACACCTTATGAAACAAGCATATGCAACCCGACGAGACATCCCTCCAACAAGGCAGAACTGTGTGTTTAAGGCCATAGAAAACCTAGGTTGGCCCTTGAAAGCGTGTGAAGAATATTCGTAACTAAATCCTCGTGAGCCCAATAAGGGAAAGGATACAATAACCCAAAGGCCTACCTGGAAACCTACTGCAAAAGAGATGCCTCTAAACAACACAATAAAACGCTGAGCCTGCGCATGATTGGAACAAACGTGTTCACCAGTAAACGACCTGGATAAAAACACATTTTTAAACATATAGAGGCCTTCATAACTTTTAAACGAGGTTTTCGGATTCTGCTTTAGGAAGCTTATGCTGAGAGCGCCGACGAATAGTGTTGCTTTGCTAATTCTTCCGACCCCCAAACCCTAAACCCTGAACCCGAAACCCTAAACCCGAAACCCCGAACCCTACACCCTAAACCCGAAACCCTGAACCCTAAACCCTAGACCTTAAACCCTAAACCCTGAACCCTAATCCCTAAACCCTAAACACTGAACCCTAATCCCTAAACCCTAAACCCTAAACCTTGAACCCTAACCCTTAAATCCTAACCCTGAACCTAAACCCTGAACCCTAAACCTTAAACCTTAAACCCTGACCCTAAACCCTAAACCTTGAACCCTAACCCTTAAATCCTAACCCTGAACCTAAACCCTGAACCCTAAACCCTAAACCTTAAACCCTGACCCTAAACCCTAAACTCCTCTCTGGAGAGCTGGCCATCGTTGTCAGTGTCGAAGAACTGAAAGGCCTGGGTTTAGGCTCGGCGTACCGAACGGTTTAGGGTTTTAGGGGTGAGGGTGCAGGGTTTAGGGTTTAGGGTTGAGGGTTTTAGGGTTTAGGGTTTTAGGGTTTAGGGTTTAGCGGACTGAATAATTACCTATACAATTTTGGGGGCTCCTTATGATAATTATGGTATAATATACACCAAAACCCAAGTCTAAGTTTTAAGGCTCCTACATTACTGGGTTCTGGTTAAGAGGGATTTCAGTAAAGCTACTATGAAGCTCTACTGGTATAGTAATGAAGGGATTTCATCAAAGATACCACAATAAGGATCATAGCAAAAACTGGTTTCCTGGTTATCCCCTAAACCCTAAACCCTTCAATTAAATCCCGCAACAAGAACTTAGTTAAGGGTCTAGTCTAGGGAGTGCAGGGCAGAGGGTTCAGGGCTTCAGAGGTTCGGATCCAGGATTTCAGAGTCTAAGGTTGACGGTTTGGAGTTTAGGGGTTTAGGGTTCAGAATTTAGGGGTTTAGGGATTAGAGTGTAGGGGTTTAGGGTTTAGAGTTTGGGGGTTGGTTTGCGCCCTGTTACTTCGGAACCTAAACGCTTATCTGGGTTGGCCTTAAACCTTCTCAAGAATATGTATATAAAGAGCCCCTTTTTGTTCCAAATACGAAAAATAAAAAATGACCCCATAACCAACCTACTTATAGTGAGATCTAGTATCTAGTGAATCTAGTACCTATGCAGGGGCTTTGCACTCTCAAGGAGTGACTGCTGCAGGCTCCTATCGTTAGGCGTCATGTGGTAGCAAGCAGGAGCAAATCATCTCGTGATGCTGTGTTGAGAACCAATCGACATCGAGGTCACACAGGATACACGGAAGAAAGATGGACGGACCCTTGCGCCTTCGAGTAAGCCTGCTCAAAGTCTGTGCATGCATTGAGAACCCAGAGCAGCAGAACCCGCCTGGGCATAGCGATCGCGCCACTGGTCGAGGGACATCCATTGGTGGCGGCCTCCACAGGTCTGCTGAACTACCAAGAAACTGAGAAACACTCCACTTGCCTCTGCCCTTTCAGGTATATGCTGTACCAGGATTATTGGAAGCTCGAGTGTATGAATATTCCACGGTTAGATATTCGTAGAGTTCTAGGATCCAGTCGTTCTACGATGCTAGTGAGCCACTGTTGTTGACCATCGGCGATACAGCAACAGAGCTCTGGAAGTTCAATCCCTCAACTCTGCTGCCCTTGTAGCGCTAGCGCAAGGACGACTTCCGTTCTTATTGGAGACAATGGTGCCAAACATGCTCGCAGCAGTTTGCCTGAGCGCCCAGGACAAAGAGCAGGACTCGACACCCTGAACCGCAAAAGCCACGCAGTGCCAGCAAGACCTATCAACAAAGAGACCAGACAACTTCGACAGCAAATGCCTCAACCGCCCGACCCCCGTGAACATACCAACGTAGGGGCCTCAAGAATTAGAGTAGGGTTTTGGGCTGTATTATACTATACATCCCACCACAACAGTATTATTGGTAACCCTCACATTGAGCCCAGAACCCACGTCTTCCAGCCTTACAAAAGCCCCTAGGATGATCTTCCAGAATCGCCGTTGGAGACGTTTCGTTCTTCAAGGCGCCGAAAAAAGCCCACGTGAACCGGGTCCTAGCTTTGGGGTATAAGGGCTCCTGGAAAGCCACGGTTAAGGGTTTAGGGTTTAGGGTTTAGGGTTACCTCACGGTTTAGGGTTTAGCGTCAGGAAGCCCCCGAGGGTTAAAGGCTACGTGCCTGACTACTAAAATGTCATCTGTTGCTGCGAGATCCTTCTGCTTCTGTGGTCTTTCGGGTGGTGCTCGAACCGCAAGCGTGGAATGCTTTGCGATCCCTGCTTCAATCTCTCGCAACCATAGGGGGTTTCGGCTATAGCTGTACAGACAACCCTAGGATACCCTACTAGGATACCCCTTCTCATCCCCGTTTAGGGAAAGGGGTTCATTAGCCAGCTGCCGACATCAAAACATAATCCTACAAAACCTTAAATAGCCAACAAGCTCGATGAAAACCCTAGAAACCTCGAAGGACGCTTATAAGCCATATCAACATCCTAAAACCTGCTACAATACTGAACGGCAACCCCCGATCCTCCCCCGATGCACGTCTTGCAAAACCCTACAAAGTTCATATCAAAAACACCGATACAGTTTAGGGTTTAGGGTTAGCGGGTGGTCCTCTAAGGACTCCTTGCTTGACCGGGTGTTCTTTGACTTATCTTTGCCTGCACCTTGCGATGGAATCTGATAGCTGCTTTGAGCCAATCAAGGGTTGCCGATTCCTGTAACTTACATTACGCTCCTTAACAAGAACTCAGTTGTCAATGCACAGTCATGCTGGTGCTTTTTTCGCCGCGATCCAAGGGATCTACACGGGTCTACGGTTTAGGGTTTGGGGGGTTTGCCAAGATTAATTGTTCCTACAACGCGGCAGTCATAACCTAGTAATAGTATGGATTTGGGATTACAGGAAAAGCCGTCTAAGACATCACCGAACAACATGATAGGCGATGCAACACATATATGGCCCTTAAATACAGAGCCCCCGACCCCTTAAACCCCGAAAGCTAAGACGACAAGTCCTCTAATTTAAACTAGAGAGTCCTACACCCATAAACCCCAAACCCTCAACCGCCTCGTTGCACTGCAATCGTCCGCCTGAACCCTAAACCCTACAAAACCCACGGTAGGGTTTAGGGTTTAGGGTTTAGGGTTTAGGGTTTAGGGCGAAACCCTCTAACGTCTATGATCTGGCCTTCTGCGAAGAGCTCGCTAAACTTCTGCCGCGTCGGCTGCGCAGCGGCAGCACTACAGAGGTCCATGAAGGACTGGAAGGTTTCTTCGATGAGCGGGATGTCCCCTTAGTTTGGAGTTTAGGGTTTAGGGCTGAGTTAAAGGAAACTACAGGTGGGGAGTTCAGGGTTTTTAGGGCTTCTATAAGGCTTCTTTGAGGTCTATAGACATTCTATGAGGCTCCTATCACGGTAACTACCCACCTGAAAATGTCCTAGACTTAGTTACGGACCCTAAACCCTAAGCCCTAACCCCTCAACCTAAATCCTACAGTCGTAGACCCGGTACCTACAATGCTCCCGAGCCCCTGAAACTTAAGCCCCTTGAGCCCTAGAGCTTTATAGCTCTTCTTAAGTTTAGACTTTCCGGATCATACTAGCTGTTGTGAAGCCCGAAATTCAACATTTGGGTTCGCGAGAACTAAGCCGTGACTAAGCCCTAGACCCTAAACTTTACCCTAAAGCCTAAACCCCTAAACCCCCAAACCCAAAACCCTATACCCCTAAACCCCCAAACCCAAAACCGAAACCCTAAATTCCAAAACCCTAAACCC